GTTCCCTACTATCGAGATCTGGGGAGCCGAAAAACTCGGCCACCTCATCCCAGTCCTCTATTGATCCCCAAAGGACTGTTCGAAGCTTAGGTAATGGTATATCAGTATCAACAGGCCAGAAGAACACCGCAAACGCCCACAATGTCCTGATATCTGAAGGGCACGTCTCTAGTGGAGCCAAAAGCTACGAAATGTGCTGAACATACTATCACGAATTCGTGAGCATCTGCGCTGTCTTCAAAAGGCAAACAACGGTAACCAACCACTGTCATTCTTGTCCTCTATAAGAGCCTCTAGCATACGGTTCAGGAGCTCGATGCTAGTTTTTATAGCGTTCCAGATGTCGGGGTCATCTACACTCCATGTCTTTCCTTCCACTTCATCGCTGTTGGATGGAGGTTTTTGGTACCAATCGAACCACCTGTCTTTGCGTAGAAATGGAAGCCACTTGCTTTCGTCAATCTGTAGACCTTCGAGCTTATAAACGGCGAGTGCTGCCGCCTCCTTCTCTGCATCTTTTTCCGTATGTCCTGACGAGACTAGACCGGTCTTTAACGAAAACCGCACCCTCCTGTTCAATGCGCCCAGTTCCCATGTTTTAAGGCCAAGGAGCGCATTAGATTGGGTTTCTTCATGCCAAAAAAGCTTATCAAACTCCCTATAATCTTGAGGTTTTATACCTCCACCGTCGATTTCTCCTAAAGAATCATAATACTTTGGATCGCTTATTTTTGGATTCAGTGGAGCAAGTGCGGAGTGGTTGACCCCTTCTCCTCATATGTAAGATTTGGGTCCGGAAAGCGTGTTGCCCATGGCGATGAGGGAATTCCCGGTTGGGAATTGCGAGGCAGTGCCATGATACTGATGAAAATTGTGACAACGATAGAGGATGGTTGGAATGCAAAGATATCTAGCCAAGGTCCCAGTACTTGCTACTGAATGTTAGGTAGATTAGACAATCAAATCATGTGCATGATATATATGATTTCAGCACAAGATACGCAAGTGCGTAAGTGGATTGACTTTTGGATAACTTAGGTAACTTGTTGATTTTGCACTATCTGTTTGCGGAAGCCAAAAAGAGAAGTGATTAGGTTCTTTGTACAGATTTTCGTAGATAAATCGGCTTGCTGTCAAAAGAGGCCTCAAACCACTCCTTTTATTCGCCGGTATAAGGTAGGTTATTGAGAGCAATCGTTCATGAGGGAGGCAGACAACTGAAAGTCTGATCTTGGGCTGAGTCCAGCCTACTATGTTCTCGCTAATTCCGATTACTCAAGTACCCCAAAGGTGGTAGATCCAGGATCGCTCTGCTCTGCTGTGCTGTGTCCCACGCGATGCCGAATGCCCCAGGCGAGTAGTAAATAGAAATAAAGAAGAAAAAAAAATTCCTGGGTATGTGTCCCGTTCTCCCCCCTTTTCCCTCGTTACACTCTGATCACCATACTATGTATGTACTTTAGTCTTGAGGGTGAAAAGAGCGGGAAGTAGGAGACAGCGGAGTAATAAATAGGAAGAGGGAAAAAAAGGATGAGATATCACGGTGCGTACACCATGAAATGCACGGGCAGACAAAAAAGAGAAGAAAGAAGGGGAAAATCTGTAAGGAATTACATTCAGGCTTGAATCCCCTTTCTAGAGTACACCTTACGCCCCCTGCCCGTTTCTGGCACCCCCCTTTTAACGCCATTTTTCTTTCCCTTGATTCTGGGCTCTGCCACGAAAGGGAAAAACAAAACGAAAAAAGAAAAAAGTTCATTTCCTAATGGGTGTGCGTGTTGATTTTCCCTTGTAAAAGCCAATGCTTCAATTTTCACGTTTCTTCTCCTCCACGCATTTCGTATTTGCTCGGAATAATTGAAGAATCACGGTTAAGGTAACGGAGGAGTAACACTCTTATAATGTGGCGATATCATTGTGAATAAGGAAGGTCGAGTAACTTAAGCGCCTGGCTGAGCTGTGCGTCTCATATTCGCCAATCGCGCTAAAACAACGCTGGCAGGCCGAAGGGGGCGGTCCTCGGATAGAGGTGGAGTGGGCAGTCGCGACTGTCGTGCTGTAACTGTGGTTGCGCCTGCCTCAATCTCTATCGTGCGGCGGAGGATGTCGTGAAGGAACTCGGGAATCTCGTGCCACCGGCTGGCTCTTGCCGCGCTTATCATCCGAGGCGGGAACATGGCTTGACGGAGCAGGGTTGAGTCATCGTGAGTGGAATCTGCTGGAAAGGGGAACTGGCCCGAGTCGATGACGTTCTTCAACCACTGCTCCCACTCGTCCTCGAGAACCTCTGTTTCGCCTGCCTCGCGACGAGCCGCACGCTCCCGGAGACGCTCATTCAAAGCGAAGCCAATGCTCTCGATCTCCCCGTCACTCTCCTCCTCCTCATCATCCTCCTCGCCGTCCATCTCTTCGTCTTCCGACTCGTCCTCGAAGCCCTCTGATACTGACCTTGGGGTATCGGCTGTGCGTCGGGTGAGCCTGTCTTCTGGCTCAATCCACACGCCCACCTCGTCAGCTGCGGTATCTCTGATGACAACGCCCGCATCGCGCTCGAAGCGGTCTTTTGCCCATTTGGTTCCTTCCCATTTGGTCAGACCAGCAATCTCGGCGTTTGTGAGGCGTAGTCCGTCGAAGGCGCGGAAGAGGCGGCGATGCCACGGCCAACGACTCAGGCGTATGCGGTGTATGGGGTGGCAGTAGTCGAGGCCTGGATACTTGGCCTCTTGGGTGTCGAGATGGCCGTAGAAGGAGTGTACCTCTTGCCGGACTTCGAGAATGAGGTGGCGGTGGAGGAGGGACTGGAAGTTCTGCACGTCGGTCGAGCGTGGCTTGGGGAACATGTACTCGTAAACGAGCTGGTCGATGGGTCGACCCTTCATCTTTGCGGTTTATTCTTCACTGTTTTTGGTTATATGGTGTAGTTTGGTGTAGTGTGGTGTAGTGTTGCGTTGTGCTGCGGTGAAGCGCCGCAGTCGGTTGGTCAAATGAAGGGAGGAGGGATGCGAGAGGAGAATAAGATTGTGATTATGAGAATATTCTTTTTTTCTATGATTGTTGTTTGTGTAGTTGATAGTAATAGTATTAGTAGCAGCAGTAGTGAATGAATAATGTTGTTGCAACCGGCGCATGAAACTATGAATGAGCACGGCGGGTGGACGAAGCGAGTGGAAGAGGTCGGTCCTCGTCGGAGGTTTGTGTTGGCTGTGATTTTTGGCGGCAGGGAAGTAATCAATCCACAAAGGACAGGGGGTGGAGGCGCTGTTCGGACTTTCTTTTGTGATCTTTCGAGGTCCAGCTAAACCAGCCAGTACTAATTGAGTCAAAATGGGAATAGTCTGGGGTCCAGAAGGGGCCGCACCCGACACAAATCTACCGATGCGCCTGGATTTTATGATGCAACATTGGGTAAAAAACAGTTTCCATTTGTTATAAATAAATTCTGGTATCATTTTTGAATAACAATATACATATTCCAGAAAAGCCTCAGCTGATGACAAAACTTTCTCAGTTATTTGATTACTGTATTCCATTCTATTGGACGCAATAAGGAACTTACCTAGATGTAGAGGCCAACAACCTTCACTATACGAAAACTACCATTGACCGCCAACACAACCACCAAAAGATCAATGCATTGACTGAACGTCGGGAAGGAGGGAAAAGAAAGAGATGAAAAGCCTGTTATGAGAACCATTTATTCTCTATTATATTACCATCTCGATCATTATTCAAGCCATTCCCATGGCCTCCACTAGCCTTCTTCTTAATCCGCAAGATATTACTGCCTTGAACCGAGTAATACATTGTAAACAATTTTCTCTTACATATCAGTTTGAAGTCCTATGCAGGCAGCATATACATACGAATGCATTTCATGTGACCTACCGGCAACCCTAATTCAATCAATCAATCATCTGTTAAAATCAGAATCTTTTTACTCCAACCAATCAAGATCACCATCTGGCGCCTGAGACAATGGCCAGCTTCGGTACATTCTTCTTCTGGGGGTCAAATGCGGCTCTCGTCTACTTAAGTCATGACCCACCGTCCTGTTTAAACTACAAATAGGGTCTTCTGCATTTGTTACCCTTTCTGCTGAAGCCATTGTGATGATGAATTTCCTTACCAAAGCCCAAACAAGAGGTAAAATCGTAATTTAGATGTCTTTGTTCTCGTGACATTGAGAAGTCAAATGGCAGAACTCCCTATTTCGATCTCCGGGGCAGGCGTACATATTTTGCAGCCGCTCCTGCCTCAAGACATCGCACCTGCCCCAACAAAACACCCTTTTCCACCGATCCACCGACGTCATTCTCCGGAGGTGGAAATCTGCGCCGACTCCGATATTGGCATTTTTCCACAGCCCCAAGCCATGCCCACCGGCTGCGTGAACATGCTGCATATATTGCTTCCGGTTTACTTGATGTGCGATAAGTGTCAATCGCTGGTGCTTAAAATGAGATGGTCCGCTTGTTCTCTGCCTCTATTCAGGCCAAATATTAAGCAAAGAAAAATACGAAGTATAGGTGATGTGGCGCTGTATACTCATTTCAGCAGATGGAGAGAAAGCCTCCTTGTACGGAGATATTGACCTGAATCGACATAGATGGTAATCCAGCTCTGCTTGACGTGGGATTCATCGGGTCGGCGTATGATAGACCCCGAGAGGATTTCTCACTTACACCAGAGGGCAAACAAAACTGACGCAAACATCATGGTTAAGGAGGTCATCCGGAGGAATAATTCATAGAAATGAAGCTTGTCAAGGATGTGTGACGTCTTGGAAGTCTATCTATGTAGAGACAAAGGCAGAAAAACTGGCATTCAGAAATTAACAAGATTTATCACCAAGGTCACTCCAAGACAACTACACAACCAATAGATTAGATACTAAACTAAACAGCAGCAAAAACTAGAAGCGCAGCGGTCCAAATCTAGGATGTAAATGATGGAAAAAGTTATAAAAATAACAAAAATGAAAAAAGTTAAGAATGGATTCATGACAAGAGTGGGACTCGAACCCACGAGGATTGCTCCACTGCGAAACCAGATATCGCCTGAACACAGCGCCATAACCGCTCGGCCATCTTGCCGGTGGTTTTGAAGCATCTTATTCGATGTTCTGACCTTTTGCCGAGGTCTGGGGAGAGTTTGAACGGGTTCAAGCCATGTTGGGGCCGGTTTTGGCCGGTCTAAGCCGGCCAACCCACTAGCTACGGCCAAGAACACACAGAATTATGGGTCTATCAGACCCCTGAATAGATTATGGCCCATGGGTGCGGAGTATGAAGGACCAGCTCATTATATCTCTTCACATCTCAGTCTGTGGCACCTAGAGCGACTCAGCGTCCAGTCATATGAAAACTACGGGAATGGAACTATTTCTGGGAATGATTGGAACTCCCAGACATGTAGGGATTACGCTCAGATGTAGAAGAAATCACTCAGACCCGTGGGACATTGCTTCAAACCCAATATACCAGTGCTCTATTTCAGCATGGGGTAAACACTTCATTCTCATTTTAATAGTACGATGATTTATTATTAGCTGAATAGGGAGAAATCGTGATAGATTCAGACACCCAGCTTTATGACAACAGATTAGTTCAGTGACCTTATCCCTTACTCCCAATCTCCCGGACCCAACGTCACAGTCCCATTGTCAATATCCTCCATCATATCAGCAATATCCCACGGCTCATACTTATACCCAGGGGGGTAATTCGGTGGGACACTTTCTACTTGATCAAAAGGAACGCCCTTCCGGATCGTGTCCGCAATCTTCTCATAGTACTCATATGCATACGCCTCCGGATCATGCCTCCAAATCCAACTCGGCAACTTCGGCTGCGCAAGCCGCGGATTCACTTTGACCTTCTCCCAATCCGTCCGCTGTAACAGCTCGGCATTCAGAAACCCCATCTTCTGCGCGCACGAGCACCGGATGAACCGCATGCGGACGTGCGTCCGCACCGCCATCGGCACCTCCGCCGCACTGCCCCCGATCTGCAGGCAACTGGCAATCGAGACAGCGTCCTCGATGGCTTGCGTCGCGCCGTTTCCTGACGCCGGCAGGAACGAGTGCGCGGCGTCGCCGATCTCGACTACGCGACCGCCGCGAGACGCCCATTTGGGTTGCGGGTTTCGCCAGAACAGCTCGAAGTTGACAATCGTGTTGGGCGGCGTTAGTGCGATGAGTTCTTTGAATTCGGTGGCCCAGGGCTCCGGCCCGACGCCCTTGTCCATATTGTTGAGCACCTCGGCCGAGTCGATGGTGTGGTTCCAGTTCTCTTCCTCTGATCCGGTGACCTGTTCACCGAGCGGTTAGCAACTAGAGCAGTGCCAAAGCTTTTCCCGCTTGATTTATTGACTTCCATCTGCTCGATGATATTATTTGAAAAAACCTCCTCTTATGGTCTCTACTTTGTATACAAAATTTGTTTTCGTTACTTTCACGTGACAGGCCGAGTCGGCAGGTTGCCACAAACAACAACAACAACAACAACAAGGGGAAGGTACGGGGGTTTGGACAGCACCTACCTCGCCGCAACCCGCAAGCACTACTAGCTAAATGTATAAAAGAAGAAGAAAGCTTACATCGTGATTGATGATCCATGCACAGGTGTCAGGTCGGACTAGGGTCATTGCGTATGTTCCGGGCCTATGTGATTCATCCATCCTCGTTAATATTGATGGTTCTTCACGAAATGTCAAGTCTGGTAGGATTGCTTACCCGAGCCAAGTTCTCACCATCGGTTCATCATGATTTGGCCCTGCCAGCTCAAAAAATGCCTTCACCCTAGAATTTTTATCTAAATGGTGCATCGGAAAGGCCGCCCGCCACATGGCTCGTCCCGAGCTCATTGCTCTGACTTGTCCACCGAGAAGTTTTTGTGCCTTGGATCCGATTCCATCAGCGGCGATAACAATATCGGCCTCGAATCGCTCGCCCTTGTCCGTCACGACACCGGCTTTCTGGCGAGTCTCATCCTCGAAATAATCAACGACTCGCTGGCCAAATTTGACATGCACACCCTGTCTCTCTATCTCGTTCAGATACATCTGGTAGACGAGCGGTCGCATCTGGAAAAAGCCCGGGGGAGTATTGGGATCCATGCCGGCCGCGCGCAGGCGAACCGAAACCTTCTGTGCAGGGACCATCGACCCACCGCTATGCTTAAAGGTCTCGATCCATGCGTTCTGCATCGAGATCTCGTCGTACTCCTGCTTCATCTTGGGCCAGTGTCGGAAGAACTTGGTCGCGCTGTGGCCCATAAAGTAGATGTCGCCCAGCGTGTTGATATGGTCATGACGCTCCAGGACGCGGACATTGTGGCCTTTGCGAACGCATTCAATCGATGCCGTTAGACCGGCGAGGCCGGTACCGACAATGAGGACGTCAATCCCCGTGGGAGGATACGAACCCACGGGTTTGCAGTCGTCCGCGTTGGAACCCATGGCCAGACGTAGAGAGTGGCAGCGAGATCAGATGGAAAGAGGAGTTGTTGAATTTCAAACAGCGAAAGGGGTTAAGATTGACAGAACCATAATCATGAGCTACTACCTCGCCGTATATCAACAATTAGGGATTGGCTAAACCCGGCGTTCCGGCCTGCTAGGATCCGGAAGGATCGTAGGGTAAGCTCCGGCTTACATCTTCTCACCACCCATGAGGCTGGTGGATGGATGTTTCATTTGAACCAACAGCATCACCTAGCAAGGGTGATTCCAACGGTCTTGCTTAGCCGCCTTTATCCTTGTTGAAACCCGAGAGATAAGGTATTTCGAGATTTACAGTCATTTGCGGACGGCGTGATAGCGTTTAGCCCAAGGCCCCGCGGTCCGCGACTAGAGGTTCTCCGGGCTGAGGAGAAGTCCGAGCGATGTGATAAGAACTCTACCTGATCCCCAACAACATTCAGGGCTGATCCTAGGATGGTAATGATTCATTGACTCTTCATATGCTGAACACGCTAGCAAGGCTATAAGAGTATGATCGTATGGGATGGTGGTCAGAACGCCTCAACGCCTATTCGTTCATCCCTTATATCCAACCACAGATCAGGAGAGCCACGCAAGCCGCCTTGCATGTTGGCTAACCGCCCCGATAACCTACTTTAGCTCTATCTGATGTTCACTCCTTTGAGTGTATTGTGTCTAACTACATCAGCAAGCAAGCAATATAGTTACCTGGCCCATTGTAATAGAATACTTCATAGGTGATCCTTGAGCTTTCCTGTGACTAGAGAGACGTCATGTGATCCTGACACCCTCTCTCTCTTGGTATTCCTAGGCTTGGCTTTCTTTGTGAAAAAAAAGACGCCCTGAGAACTCCACCATGTCTACCTTCGATCCTCCGTCTGTTTCTTACTTTCGTCGTTTCTAGCCTCCGTTGACTCTTCCTCGTGTTCTGTTAGTTTCTCTACACCAGCAACGTTATCGTTGCTTACTGCAAAGCCATGCAACCTTTTACTCTCGTGATACTGGGAGCCTCCCTCATCTCCTGGGTTACGTATCACCTCTATACGACATACCAGAAGATCAACCATCCTAGCAAGATCCCCGGGCCAACACTCATTCCTCACATTGGCCGGGTTCACGATCTTCCGATTAATTTCATGTGGCTCAAGTTCAAAGAGTGGGCAGATATGTACAGCGGTGACAATGGATTTTACTGGACCGACATACTAGGGGCCAAGATACTAGTTGTGACCGACGAGAAGGTGGCCGAAGATTTGCTGGTGAAGAGAGCCAAATATAATTCAGATCGGCCAGTAATAAGATCACTGTTCGATTCGAAGAGTACTTACGGATCTATGGAGTACCTCCCGTTAATGGGAAGAAATCGTAGGTCTCGATCTATGGATAGGGTTTAAGCTCTCGAGAGTTCTGACTGGCTAACGTGGATGAAACAGAGTACTGGGCACGCCAACGGCGGTTCACACATTCATACCTCACAGAAGCGAGCAACGTGCACTACTACAATCTAATGTATCACGAGTCCAAGAGGTGGTTAGTCCGGCTCCTCGAGAACCCCGACGACTTCCAATTCTCGCTCGAGGACATGGCCTCGAAAATCATGTGCACGCTCACATGGGACGACCACACATTGAGCGAATACTGCACCAAGAGCGCCTGGGGTTTGCTAACGCAAATGTCGCCCGCGGGTCCCATCACGAACATCCTCACACCACTTTGGCATCTCCCCAAATTCATGAATCCCTGGAAAATAGCCGAGCACAAACGACATGACGAGCAGCAGGCGTGGTGGATGGAGCGGCTAGTCACGACGCGCGAAAAGATGGCGCGTGGCGAGCAAAGGATGTGTTTCACAAGGCAATATCTAGAAAAGGGCGAGAAGAGATCAAACATATCCGGCGATTACGAGGCTTCATGTGTCATTGGCATGATGGCTCTCGTGGGCATTTTCACCGTCGCCGGACCCTTGTCGTACTGGCTTGTATCCATGGTTCATTATCCCGAGTGGCAAGCCGCAGTGCAGCGTGAGGTGGATACAGTTTGCCATGGACGTCTACCGACGCTCGACGACATGCCGAATTTGCCGGTTCTAAGAGCTTGTATCAAGGAGACGATGCGGTGGAAACCAAATGTACCCACAGGTGAGTGAAGTTGGGCTCCCGAACTTGCGCGTCTGTGAGCTATATGGCTAACATACAGGAATGTTTTTCAGGAGTTGCGCACGAAATGGAGACGGATGATACTTATCAAGGATATTATCTTCCTAAAGGAACTCGTATTCTCCCATTAGATTGGTTGGCACTCCGCGAACGTAAATTACAACTATGTTACGGCTGACTCTCGTTTCCAGGGCGTTTCTCCGCAACCCAATCAAATATCCAGACCCCGATAACTTCCGCCCTGAAAGGTGGTTAGAGCCATGCTGGCCAACATACCAAGAGCCTCTCACAACCTATCCGACGATTAAGGGCCTATCATCTTTTGGATGGGGTCAACGGCAGTGTTTGGGGATGACCTTAACGCAGGACGAATTACTAGTAGCGTGTGGTGCGTTGGCGTGGTGTTTTGATCTCAGGCCCAAGAAGAATCCTGTTACAGGGGAAAACTACCCCGT